TGTGACGATGTCATTCTATACGGATCGAGAGGATGGAAAGCTTTACAGTCACGCAACCTCGGTGAAACACTGAAAACAGACTTTTCTACTGAAAAGTAACTACTTGATCTCAAGTGCTTTTCGACAGCCTGGAGCATGTGTAAAAACAAGAGGAGTTGGCTAAAAAGAGAGTGGAAAAAGACGGAGAGGACCAATAAGCTTTTCGCGCTTGCTAAAAAACTTAAAATGAAGAGAAAATAACGTATTCTACCCCATGAAACTGTATATTGTTGTATATACTGTAAATAGACATCCACTTTATATAATAAATACATTCATAACCCATATATAGTAAACCGTGTGGGTCTTCACTATCACTGTATGAGGTAAGAATCAAGAGCTTTTTATCACATTTACACAACACTTTATGAATACAAGTCATGAACAAATCTTAAATATGGCAGGGAATGTGTTTCCTTTTTTAGTTTTGATTTTGAGCAGCAAATTTGGAGTTACATATTGGTGCTCACCAGGAATGCATCAGCAAAATTGCACAAATTTTCACTTGAAAGAATAGTGGCAATCTTGGGATTTTTTCTGTTCAAGTTTCAAATAGTGTGTAAATTCAATACACTTCATCTTCAGCGTGTTTAGTGCCACTTGTGTAAGTAACCACGCCCCCGTCCAGGCCACGCCCCGTCCCGGCCACGCCCCTTTCCGCTTTTTTTTCATCACTCGCCATTGCCATCACTGTATAGTTAAAGACACATGAATTGTCTTGCAAACTTATCACAGTTACAGTAAATGTGATATCTTGTGCATCTTGAAAGTATTCAGTGCTTTACTTTTTCCACATTTTGTTACAGCCTCATCCCAAAATTGAGTCAATTTCGGCCAGTATTCTTCACACAACCCAATTACTTTATTTTTTTCTAGTTTATTAAAAAAAAAAAAAAAAATCACATGAGCATAAATACTCATAGCGTTTGCCACAAAGTACAAAATTGAGTTCGTGTCCATTTTGGTTCCATTGATTATCTTTGAGAGGTTCCGACAGTTTAATTGGAGTCCGCCTTTGCTAAATTGTTGCTTGGACATGATTTGGAAAGGCACACACCTCTCTATATGGGTGACGGTATATGTCAGAGCACAATCAAGCATGAAAGCCAAAGGAATTGTCTTGAGCAACAAATTTGGGGATGGGTACACAAAATTTCTGACTCTTTGAAGGTTCCAATGAGCATAGTGGCCTCCATCATCTGTAAATGGAAGAAGTTCTGAAGCACCAGGACTCCTCCGAGAGCTTGCCGCCAGTTTAAACGGAGTAATTTTGGAATCAGGGCCGTAATGGGAATTTGACAACTAACAGTGCTAAAATGTGAGTTAACTGTTCGTACCATTGAATGCCGACCAGTTCTTTTGCAGAGAAGCAAAGTTGCTCGCTCATACACTAGACCGCATTCTGTGTAGCTGCTCAAAATGCTGATTGTGCTGCATGGTCTGACCTTACCCCCCCAAAAGAGAGAAAATGAGAGAGCACAATTCCTATTGTTCAATAGGGTCTTTTGGCTCTGATCTAGAATTTCGTTGAGTTTATTCATTTGAGTTTATTTTATCTAATTTCTGGTCTCGAGAAGACTGAAAGTGGGAAAAATGGGTGACTCACAGTTGAATTTCGGATGGTGAGGATGTTGGTTATCCAAATACAAGCTGGAAACGATGAACAGTACCTTCGAAGGGTTTATTTGCAGAATATTCCTGGCACCCGCGGTTTACAGACAATGGCTGCGGATCACGAGTGCAAAGAAGCAAGGGATTCACAACATATTTATATCATCATAAGGGTGGTACCGAAACTCATGGTGAGGCATCAGGACTTTCGTTTCTCCTAAACCGATTCTTAGCTTGTATCAACTGCCGCATTCCTATGGTCTGTGCGTCTCTACAAGGTCTCCAGGAAAGAGTGTACCAATATTAAGTGATGATTGCTTCAAGGATGCAAAGTTACGCTGCGGGCATGGGAAAGTTATACAGCATGACTAAATATGGGCAGAATACGCACATCACAGCCCATCTGGAGTTTGCCAAAAGGAAAACAAATGCTTTCGAGAAAACCAGGCACAGTTCATCACCTAACCAATACCCTCCGTACATTGAAGCATGGCAGCAGCAGCATGCTGTGCGGCTGAAGGAACCGGAAGAGTTGTCCGGATTGCAATGAGTGCAGTGATATTTACAAACATCTTGGATGAAAACTTCCTCCTAAGTGCTCAGCACCTCACACTGGGGCGAAAGTTTACCTCTCAACAGGACAGCGACCCTCAGCACACAGCCAAGACAAAAAAAGAGTGGCAGGGCAACTCTGTGAATGTCCTCGAGTAGCCCACCCAGAGTCCAGACTTTAATCCAATCGAACATCTCTGAGGAGATTTGAACAAGGCTGTCCACCAACACTCCACGCCCAACCTGGCGCAGCTTGAGTGATGCCGCTGGCCAAGATAGGTGTGCCAAGCTTGTGGCATCATATTAAAAAAAGGCTTGAGGCTGTAATTACTGCCAAAAGTGCTTCAATAAAGTTTTGATGCTTGAAATACGTATGTGCATGTGATGTCTTAATTTTTTAAGTACGTTTTCAACAACGGAACCATGACCCCTTCATCCCATTTACATTAAAGAGCAGATCTCGCCCACCATATCCTCTTATTTGGCCGGCAAATGTGTCAGCTCTCATGATCCTTGCTAAAATGTGTGCCAAACTGTCAAATTATTTGTAATAAATAATATTGAGGTCTTGCATTTTTTTGTTACATTTGTAACAGTAACTTGAACAAAGTATTATCTTTGATTTTTGTTTTCAAAACTAGTAATCCATCAGTTGTCTATGTAATAATACGATGAGATAATTAAACATTTATTTTGCTTCACAGTCATAACAGCCCTCTGAGGGTAGCCGGAACTACATTGGGGCCCGCCATAAAAATGACTGTGACACCCCTGTTACAGGGTGTTGTGTGTAGAATTTTGAGGCATAAAAATGATTTATTCTGTTTTGGTATGAGGCTGTAACATAAAATCCAGAAAAAGTGAAATGCTGTGATAACTTCCCATATGTATATACGGCTTATGCCAAAAGTGGTTGAAAACCACCACAGATCATGGATATCATTATTCATCTTGCAGCATACAACTTTTATGACTGTATATACCTGTATGTGTGTGTGGTAACCTACAACTGAACTCTTTGAAGCCCAAAGACAAGCCAAAAAAGGATTAAAAAAATAAACAAAAATACTGCCTAAAAAACAAGCAGTTTTAATTTTTTTTTATTTGAGGCGAAGAGCTATCTTGTCTGGAAAGGGCGTAATACACCATGCATCCATATGTGAAGCAAAACAAGACTAACAAAGACTGGCAGAAACATATAGGCAAGAATGTGAGCAGTAGACGACTTTGTACTCCTTACATATGTCATATTTTGGACAGCGTTTGATACTGACTTGACTCCTGTCTCATTATTACGACACCTAGCCCATCACCTATTCTTAAGGTCTGCAGTAATTGGGCTTTAATTTTGTGAAATGCATTTAGCCACTTCAAGAAAAGAAAAACATTTTTATCATAAAAATTGTATGGTTGTAGTCTACGCTGTTTTGCATACAACGTGAGCCACATATCGAGACTGCCAAGTCACTCCAAATATACATTGTGATCAGGCCAGCCTCCAAACGGAAATATGAAGTCAACCCGAGGGGGAGTAAAAATTATTCAAACAAATACATCCGCGATTTTCACGATTAGGTCAGTGAGAAGCGGGTCAGTGAAGGTGTGCTCGATTTGTTTACACTTCTGTCCAATAAGGGATCAGCGCTACTTACACATGAAGTAGTAACTGGTGTACACTAAATAGTAATTAATGTGCACAAATAAGTACTTTGTGTGCACAAATTAGTAGTTCGTGCGCACAGAGTACCTTTTTATTTTCTTTCAAATGTCATGTCTGGGGCTCCGTAAAATCCAAAATCACATGACAGCTGGGTAGCCGACAAAAGCAAACGTCCTTGGATCAGTTCTTTACAAAACCCCAAGCAGAATCCACTTCTGAGAGAGAACATGAGCTAAAGAGGGCAAAAAACGATGACACACCCAGTCAGCAAAGGCATCTGGCCCGGCTTCGGCATGAAGCCGGCACAGCTGGCCTGGTGTCGGCAATGGCATAACGCATGTGGGCCGAACACGGCCCAGGCGTGGCAAAGGAGGCACTGGCTTGACTCTGGCAAACCAGATGAGGGCCGGTTGTGG